TCAAAAAAAATCATGATAAAAATGAAACAAAAATTCACAACCAAGTCAAATACAGTATGTGCTTTTACCCTTTAGCCCTTTGTGTGTGTTTATAAACCACATCATAGGGACATCACTTTCACACATAGGATAAATACAAAACTTCAAATGTAAATATGCCATTGAAGAGTGAACTTAGGATCCCCAATTCAGATCGTACTTCAATGCAATGTTACTCCTACACATATTATAAAACCGAAGACTTATATCTCACATTATATAAATCAACGGACTTCCCTCGTACCCATTATTCCGTGGTCCATATGGCTTTTCTTCAGGATCTTTCCCACTCAGGTCCCTACCCAGCATTTTTCCACTTGATTTATGTAATGATTTACATAGTGGCTCAGCAACTAAGGCAGTATACTTACTTATATTTTCTCACCGACGGGCTTGAGGACACTTCAATCATTGTTTGCCAAACTTCTCACCTCTCAATGGGCTAGCATCAATATTGAATGCTCTTCCTTTTCTCCCTCTTTAAATTGTACCTAACCTCAGAAAAGTATCCGCCAACAACCCTTCCTCCACACTTGTTTAGCACAAAGTACTTTAAGCAAGAAGGTAAAAAAGCTGTTTTCAAACTATCACTCCCCCGTTTTTCGAGTTTGAAGTGACGATAGGGTTAAATGCCTATTTTTGGGTTTCATAATATAGCAAAGTCCCACATGCACAAGGTACAAATACTGAATGAATCAAATCAAACTTTGGCATATCACATGAATTTAAGCTACCACACATATATGTTAAGTTTATCCCAGAGTTACGGCTAAAGTGCACAAGTAAAATATTCAGGGTATAACACATAATGCACAGACTCAAAAGAAATTTTTGTCCCAATGTAATTACATTTCATAGAGTCTCAAGTTAAGTTCATCATTGACTATTTTTGGTATTTTTCATTTTTCTGATTTTTTTTTTCTGTTTTTTATTTTGAAATTTTTTTATTTTTTATTCATGAAATAAAAAAAATGAAACAAATATAAAACAGAAAAGAAACACTAAATCTCCTAACACTTAGAACATACATTGTCTGCAATGTAGCAAAAAATATAACCAAAAGAAGAAAGATACTTCCCTGACAATGTAGAGATCTTCAAGGTGACTAGCTTCGTTCGCCAAAGGTTAATGTGATATCATAAGTGTCATAAAACCCCTAAAGGACCTTTTCACATTATCTATGGGACGCCCAGCTATGTGGATATCGGCTGATCCTACGGAAGACAGTCACTTATATTTTACTATTTATGTGCTTGAAAATGATGAGAGTAACACATGGAATAAACATCATGTTCAATGGCCTGAAGAAATTGGGGATGTAGGTTTTATTGATGTTGTAGGAAACTTCGCTACTGGTGAGATTTTTTTGATAATGGTTTATGCCAGATGTCAGGACGACTGCCCGCCTGTTTATTCTTACAATCACTACACAAGTAAGTTTGATCGATTTCATGTTGGTGACTTCCCTAACATGCTTTTTTCTTTTGTACATTCTATCGGCTTTGGAAACTCTAGTGCTAAGATTGTGTGTTTACACAATAACAAGAATCTTTATCTACCATTGGATGATGTGCTTAGTGGTCGGGATTGAGCTGATATAAGATTATGATTGAGGGTATGGCACAATATTGATCAAAGGTCAGTGCTTTGAAGTCATGGAAGAGGATTACTGGAATTGCCCTTTCGTATCAATGTTAGCATTTAAGTTATGCCTGCAGAAGGCTCACACAATTCTCTATTGTCAAGTCTTATGGTCCATTAGTTGTTACGCTCTGGTTTAAGACTTGTTTCTTGCATAATTTGATTTGCAGGTTGACGATACCTGGAATTGTACCGCCAATGTAGGGTGAAACTCCGACTAGGGTTTCCTGCAAAACATCGTGCGTCTCCCGAGGGTAGACACTCTGAAGCTTAAGTCAGAAAATAGGGTTATGTCTGTATTGATTTAATAGTCAAGATTGCGTACCTTTATTGTGGAATAATGGTCCCTTTTTATAGACCTGCCAGATGTCCGAATATTACTAGGGTTAGCAATAATACACCGCCATATCTAGGGTGGTTTGGCCCTAAGGCCCCCATCGAATGTAATGGATGTGGACTCGTCACAGGTTAAATGTTTAAGCTGGGTATTGTTATCTAGCTCATTGACTCGTAGCTTCACATTTCCGTTGATCATCTTTTGATGTATTTCACCATTTTGAATTATTTAAGGTGGATATTCTTGTCTCCGAAAACATATGTTTGAACAATGTAGTAGAGTTGATTGATTGATGAAGTGAATTGGTTTTCTCTGAAGTTACATTCCATATTCTCAAAGAAAGTCCATTGTGCTTAATATATAATCAACTAATTCGGTGGTGGCTCGTTTGCATTTCAATTTCAAAGCCCATTTTCTGTGCAGTGATCAATCCTGCTGTAGATATCAGGTCTAACAATCTTTAGATCTCACTATTAAGCGTGTTTAATCTTTTAAATCGATTCTAGGAATTCACTTTTTGTTCCTCCCGTGCTTTCACATCAATGTATTTTTCTTTCTTTGTCCAGACATAAGTATGATATCTTTTGTTGAATTCTACATACCCTGGATGTTTGATATTTCTATTTTAGAAACTTTCTCTTGAATTGCATGGCAAATCGATCCAATGTATTGATCAGGTACTTTTGATGACACTGTCCACTGAACAACATCTGAAATGGTTGCTTTATTGTCAACGGGTGTTTTGCCCAATTGGTGTCAAAGCTTTAAGATTCCGGAAGAGAATAACTTGGAGTTGTGGGAATGTTTCAGATGCGGGTTGCTGCTAATAGTGATAAAATGAACAATGTCTATTCATGGTTTTGAAAGGGACCCTTATCTGAGCATGAATAATAGTGCTATAATGTTTTTGCTTGTTCGATGTTATTGCATCACATCAATAACAATGCCGAGTTGATGTTTAGTTTGACAAGTTTTTTTCTTCCATTTGGTCTCCTTATTTAATCCTATGACTAAAATTGGATGCTTTTTGCTGTCTGCTTTCATTAGCTGTCTGCTTTCTGAAAATTCATTGGTACATTGCTGCATGGAGATCCTTTTTGCTGGGAGAGTTAGTAATTCATTTTAGCTCTGTAGTGATTTGGTCAAAAGGAATTTGAAAGATGACTAATGAAGATTTGTTAGCATAACAGCTCTGCCATTGTATCATCTTAGTGAAGTCTCTCTTTCCAGTGTATTCATCAAGAAACAGGTCAACCGACTCTCTCAAAGGTTTTAGGTTGGTTATGCAGTCGCTTTCCTGCCATAGTGCCATGAAGTATTGCTGCCGAACGGCTCATTCATATTCTAGGCTCATTACTGTTCTCATTCACGGAATCACCCGGAGGTGACAGAGCTATATATCGAAAACTTGACTAGGATTTCTCCTATGCATACAACACAATTTAGACTCAGGATAGTTTTGAGTGTGGTATCATATGCTAACTGAACTCGATCTGAGCTTTAACCTAGAAGCCCGCTAGCATGTCTGTTCATCTAGGAGTTACTTCCTAACGGAACTGTGGAAGCTACAATTTCAGCAGTACTTTAATGATCAGCGCAGGAAACTACATTAGACTGCTTAGCATATGAAACTTAACTATGGTCAAGTTGTCTGAATGAGAAATAAAAGTCATCTCTAGATATGATAATTTTATTATGCAGCAGGTAGATGGAACATCCTTTCGAGTTGTCAATTGCCAATCAGTGATTTATTTATTTCAACATATTAATCAAGTGTCATGTTTTAAGTTCATCTTTGGATTTAAACGGGATCCATCAAGGTGGATTTTCTTTCAAAAAAAGAAAAAAAAGGTTCATCATTTGATTTGTCCAGAAAGCTGAGTTTGTTTATTGGTTCCAATGTTCCATACATTGATTCCAGCACAAAATACCCATCCCTCTTTGCTTTTTTCATTATCAGAAATGCATTTACTGTCGTTCCGAAAACAAGTTTCCAAGTTTTTCTAAAATCTAAACTAACAGTGTCCCGTATGTCGGTCATCCACAACAATCAAATACTACCTCCGTCTCAAGAAAAATAATTTAATTTATTTATTGAACTAAAACAGTAAAATAAATTGACGTATTTTATTAGTGCTTTTTTTGGAAGCCCTTGAGCTGTTTGAGCCACCTCTGCTAGCAATTTTAACCAAAAAACAAAAATAAGAAAATCAAACCAACTGGACCTTGATCAGATTTAGACACGAACCTTGGGGATATAAAAGTAGTTAAGAAATAATAGTCATCCATTATATTTAAATGAACCCGGTGGAGTGTGGACAAAAACATCTGGACCCTCTTTTCCTTGATTCTGACATTGTTAATTACTTTAATTAAGAAATTTATTTGTTTCTACATCGTTAATGTAAATTAATCAGCCTGTTTGAATTGATCATTTGATCAAGTCCTTCTGTTCATTTGCTCACACCAATTTGTTTCTTCAACCTTTCAAGCTAGAAAACCAATTTCTACTTGTTTCTCAAATCAGTAGTCAATTTCACTTTTAGGAAGGAAAAAAGAGAAAAAGAAAAGGAAAAAGCTTGCAAGGGAACTTAATGCTAAGTGTAAAGGTTTGGATCTTCATCTGGATCATTTGAAGAAGATTGAGATCTAATTTTTTTCATGGTTCTCATCGACAAGGTAAAGGTCCTTTGTACTGAATCTACTTTTTTTTTTTTTTTTATTCGACCCTTTACTGAATCTATTGATCTTTTCCATTTTTGCCCCTTTTTTCTTGTTGATTAAATTTGTTGGTGGGTGATTGTCTGAAAATGGATTCTTGAATGCTGATTCACTGAATTCTTAGGCTTATTAAATGGCAAGAAAGGAAAATTAAATAGAGCTTGGATTCCTGAATTATAAATCTGAGAGAAATGTTCAATTTTCTATTTTTCTTTGTAGCTACATCTCTGGCAACAAAGTAATTTTGCTTGTAGAAAGGAAAATGGGGCCAAAAATGCGACATGTTAAACATCACTGGGAAATTTATGATTATCTTGGTTCAAATACTGATAAATCAAAGACTTTTCGGGACCTCCGGCAGTCACTTGAGAGGTGGAACAAATACTGTGAGCATGGAAAATCAGGGAGGGGTAGGGAAGGAGATCATCAGTCCTTGGATTCTTTAGCTGCAGCGATTAATGAACTCGGGTTGGATTGGTTTTTTCTTGAGATGCTTTGGCAATCCATATACCATAGTGATGCTGATAAGTTTGTGCAGAGTGAAAAGACCCTTGCGAAAATTCGTGTTGTGGCAGATGAGGTTAACAGAGATTTAAGTTCACATCTTCCACCAGATACCAAATGCAACCTCATGGAAAGGTCTCAGGAACTGCTCGATTTGCTGGTTGACTGCAAAAGCAAGACTGATGAGCTTATGGAGGCACAGATTCGACAAGTTTTAATGGCCTTGTAAATATCAACAGTTCGTGCTGAGCGCTACATTTGCGAATGTTTTTCTTTTTCTTTGAGCAAAAATCCATGGTCATTTGATATTGCAGGTGATGGTGTTCTTGGAAAAAAGCTGTTATTCCTCAGTGATCAGCTGAAATTGATATGCTTTTACCTGGCTTATGTATATGACGATCCTTTGGGGGATGGCCCTAAAATTGATGCCATTCTTAGTGATGCTTCCTCCGTGATTGTGAGGATTGTAGTTCGTTATTGTAATTTGTGGTTCAACAGGCAACACCCTGAAACTGCGAATGCTGTGGTCACTGAAATTGTAGATTTGCTTCACGAGATTGCTCCAACAAATCCCGAGTTTATACAGTTGAATCTCAGATACCTCAAGTCTCTCTGTGATAAAGTTATCAACTCCAGGGGACACGCACGGTATGATGGCTGTTACGGAGTGACTTACTTCAGCCACTTTCTTCTCAATTGGCGAAAAGGAGCAGATTATAAAGAGGAGCAAATTATTTCGGTAAGAGACACAATCACCCTTTGTTTTGACAATATACCAGAGGATGGCAGGGAGGATATGGACAATTTCTTTGCAGAGATTGTGGCAGTGTTAGCAGAGGTAGCCTTCTTTTTCCATGGCACGGTGCAGACTGATGTATCTGCTGAAAAAGAACCAAATCTATTTGATGTATTGCCTCTTAATTCGGAGTTACAAGCAAAACTTTGTCTTCTCAAAGCAGAGCTTTTCCTCAAACAGCAACTCAATGCTCACACTCCCTCAATGCTTTTCAGTAATGACCAATTTTTCAGTGTCAATATGATTCGCACCTACTTGAAAGCATTTAAATATCAATGTCAGCACGAGAAGACGGAATTCGTAAAGGAAAGTTTAGTCTGCGCTGAAAAACTGGCTGATGATATTGTTTCCCTTAAGAAGTCACTTCATTCCAGAAAGTTAACTAGTCCTTTGGTAAAGCATTCGCTTCTGCTGTGGCTTTTCAGGATTGCCTTTTTCAAGGCCGAGGCATGTTTAGCAGAGTTATTGAAGTGTGGTGACGCTTCCGTCGTTCATGAGATGCATCAGATTAACTACCTTGCTGAGGAGCTTACTTATTTTAAAGGAATTATTAAAACTAAGCTGGCAAGTAACCCTTCAGATGATGAAACAGTCATGATACAAATGGAAGGTGTTGTTAGGGGGATCACACTTCTCTCTTACTCGTATCTTCCCGACAACCAGAAGTTTAAGAAAATTGTCCATTCATTGCCTCAATTGTTGGTGAAAATGAACAATGCCAAGGCTAAGCTCAGGGAAATAATTCAGCAATTTCCAAAGATCATCTTTCCCAAGACCTTTGAACTCGGGTTCTTTGATTTTCTGTGCAGAAACTTAAGGGATCTTCTGAAACATTGTCCTGTATCTATGATAACTGTCAAGCACCACATTCAGCAACTTCTGCTGCAGCTAGAATCTTTTAAATCTTTTCTAGTGAAAGTAAAAGATTCGGATGTTGAGCTGGGTGAATTAGAGGATCTTGGGAACCACATCATAGATGTGGCATATAAGCTGGAATTCGTTATTGACTCCATTGAGGTTGAAGGTCATTTGCAGCAATCAGTATGGTTATATGATCTGTTACAGGATATCCGACTTATTGATCAAAAGGTCCAAGAAATCCGTGAGATATCCTATGTTGGCAAAGTGGAAAACCTCCGCCAGATTCTGTCCCCGATGTTATCAAGAGATACCCGAGAAGAAAGTAGTGAGATGCTAGTTGGTCTTGTTGATGAAGAAAAAGAAATAATTGACCGCCTCACCCGGGGGTCTTTGCAGCGAGATGCTGTTTCAATTGTTGGGATGCCTGGCAGTGGAAAGACCACCCTTGCAAGAAAAGTGTACCACAATCCCAATGTCACGCACCATTTTTATCGTCGTGCGTGGTGTACTGTTTCACAAACATACACGAAGAGGGAGTTGTTACTTGAACTGTTAGGTCACATTGATGTGCTTTCTAATGACATCAGTAAACAGACTGATGATGATCTCATGTCCAAATTGCGTAGGTGCTTATTGAGAAACAAATACCTAATAGTTATGGATGACGTATGGGACACTGTAGCCTGGAACCATTTGCAAAATTGTTTTCCTGATGACAGCAATGGAAGTAGAATTCTAATAACCAGTCGTCGCAAGGATATAGCCTCAGAAATCAAACCGGGCAGTAATCATCATTCAATTCGTCCATTTTCGGATGTTGAAAGTTGGAAACTGTTAAAGAATAAGATATTTGAAGGTGCAGATTGGCCTGAAGTCTTGGCAGAAGTTGGAATAGAGATCGCTCAACAATGTCAGGGATTACCACTTGCAGTTGTCACAATAGCTGGTCTCCTGAAGATGTTAGAAAGAAACAAGGATTCGTGGACCAAAGTCTTCAAAAGTTTAAGCTCAGAAATAACCAGCAATCCAGAAAATCGCTGCAGGCAAATTTTAGAACTGAGCTATAAGAACTTACCTGCGTATTTAAAAGCCTGCTTTATTTATTTGGGAGTTTTTCATGAGGACAAAGATATTCCTGTGACCAAGTTGATGAATCTTTGGTTGGCAGAAGGATTCATACAAGAAACCGAGTCGAAGACGTTGGAGGAGGTTGCAGAGGATTATTTGATGGAGCTGATTAACAGAAGCCTAGTGAACATCCACAAAACAAAGTCCAATGGAAAGGTCAAAACATGTCGTCTTCATGATCTATTGCGTGATCTGTGTCTCTTGAAAGCCAAGGAAGAGAACTTCCAACAATTAGTAAATGAGCAAGAAGAACCATATGCATCATTCCCGGATTGAGAATATGATATGGAGCTTGATAGTGAGAATGTTACATCTCCAACAATATTCGCTAGCTACAGATTGAGCTTTTGTGTGAAACGGCCTCATTTTGTTGATTCCCGACCCTCAGGCTCTTTTGCTCGGTCCTTAACCTTCTTCGCGTCTCCTGATTCAGAGCCAAAATGTCCTTATGATATGTCCTTCATTTGCCACAACTTCAAGTTACTTCGGATTTTGGACTTGGAAGCTATCATGGCAATTAGCTTTCCAGCTGAAATAGGACTAATGATTCAACTGAGATATTTAGCTGTTAGTGGTTATATGAAATCTGTTCCACCATCAATATCCAAGTTGTGGAGACTTGAAACGTTGGTTGTGAAGGGATTGCGAAAGGTCATCTTACCAGAAACTGTTTGGAGCATGAAACGACTGAGGCACCTTCATGTGAATAATCATGTCGTTTTTAGCTTGCAAGGGCTGGATGGTGGTGTCGGGAGTTCTTCTCATTTGGAACATTTGGTCAGCTTGTCTACCCCATCACTCTCCTGCAAGAATGGTAGATGGAGGATATTGAAGAGGTTTCCTAATCTCCGCAAATTGAGATGCATATTCTGGCAGTCAGAGAACTCCGCTGAAGAAAACAGTGAGTACGTAAGATGGAACTTCTTAACTCATTTGGAGTCGCTAAAGATTATTTGCTTTGGTGGAGCTCCAAATTCTGGGGATTTTCTCCTCCCACAGTGTCTCCAGAAACTGACTCTTATAAAATTCTGCCTACAAGAGAATCATCTTTCTGTGATTGCGGAACTACCAAATCTCAGAGTTCTGAAACTGCGTGGTGGGGCCTTCGAGGGGCATAAATGGGAGTTGCAGGAAGAGGAATTCCAAGAACTCACGTTCTTGGAGTTAGATACCATGAACCTTGCGGAGTGGAATGCCTCTTATGATCACTTTCCAAGACTAGAGCGACTTGTACTACGCAATTGCAAGGATTTGAAGAGAATTCCATCCGATTTTGCCTATATTCCTACAATGCAAAAGGTTGAAGTTCATTGGTGCGGGAAGTCTGTGGAAGAGTCAGCAGAAGAAATTGGGGTTGAAACGCAAGAGATCAGAATCGTTATCACCCGCTTATAACTGGCAATCCCTGAAAGTAAGTTATTTGCATTTCAGCAACTTTTCATTCGATTTTCAATTCACTTGAATGGTGATAGTGCGGTTGATTCTGTTCTTTGGTGATATGACTAGCTTAAATGGTATAAGCCTGGGATTCAGACCAAAACATTTTATACAAATTAAGGTTAGTCTGATGATGTTATATTTACAGACATATATATCAGGCAAGTACACAGAAATGACAATCAGACAAACAGTTTTGCTCATGCAGAAGAACACATGCAAATGTGTATCTGAAATATATCGAAGCGAAACATTCCATTGGATCGGAATGCTTTGACTGCTAAACTAGAAAAAAAAAAAAAAAAAATTAAGCTTGTCGTCCATTGTTTCCCTGACAATCTTGCATCTCTTTGTTGCTTCAGGCGTTCTCTTTAAGCCACACAAAAAAAAAAAAAAATAATAATAATAATAATTTCAATTTGGCTCTGCATGGACCTTTTGTTTTCCTGGGTGGTTGTGAACATATGTTTTACTTTCCATTGCAGTCAGGAGATGGTGGAAGTCCGAACAGCAAATGCAATTGCACCATCTGAAATGAATTACTTGTCTGGGAACTTGTGCCGGAGATTACAAACTTTTTGCAGCAAGTTAGGAAAAAAAAAATTCAGTTGCATCGGATGAAAATCTGAGTTGTTTGTGTCGGGTTGTTATGGTGTTGGCATTTTACGTTAAAGTCTGAGATATGGTTTGAATGTCTCTGGAATGATCAAAACATTGTTGCGATCGAATTGCCAAAAAATTGATGAAATTTTTATACTCTCGTTATCCCAAAAGTATTGTCCTGTTTGTCAGTAACATTGGCCAATGTTATACTTTTTCATTTATCATGATTTTCAACAGATTTAGTATTGAGACCTTGTTGAGCATTTGTCCGTTGCATTCAACCAATACTAGTCAGATTCGGTAGTTTAAGTTTGTTTCTGACCGAGATTGAACTAAGCTTTAACCAAGCAATTAAATATTAGGCTGATTTTAGATATTGGAAAATTCGACGGAAAGCCTGCTGGGCATATCTATATTTTTGGTCAAGTAGTCTGAATAGGAAATGAAAGCCATTTTTTTTTTAACAGAAATGTTAGGATAATATTCAGATTCCAATTGGCTCAAAAAAAATTTTGAACCAACCAGTACTAAATAGCATTAATGTACCCAAGAGGTCTACCCAAGAGATGGACATTTATACCATCTAGTTCCCTAGTCTCATATTTCCCCGCAAATTGCATTTATTTCAAATCCATGAAAATAGTAGTTTACAAACTAACTACTATTACATCAAAGAACCCGAACTCTAAGATAAGGGAAGGTCGCTTGATCTAAGACCAAAAGTCCTTTTACAAAACTTGGCAAAGAATGCAAAAAGGAAAAAAATTTTCGAGGTTCCAGAGGAAGCCATTTTAGCTATCGTATCAGCAACAACATTAGCTTCCGTATACAAATAAAAAATGCTAAAGTTGTTCCTATGTAATATAGAAACCATCTCCTGCATTTGCGTGCAATACTTCTAAGGAAAGCTAGTACCAGCAGCTAGAGATTCAGCCAAAGACTTATTATCAGTTTGAACAGTAACATTCGGTAATTGAAGTCACTTACATTTCCGCAAGCCATATAGAATTCCAAATACCTCCTCCATAACGCTATCTCCATCTCCAAGGTATCCCACCTCTCCATAGACAAAAGAGCCAACTGCGCCTATGATTATAAAGCCATAACTTGTTTCATTCATACTAGATGACCCATCAATGTTAAGAATATAAGAGTTAATAGAAGGAGGATGCCACCGAATTTCTAAAACCCTAGGCCGTATTAAACGACCTAAATGCACATTAAAATTCCTTGCAAAGAAAGACTCTTCATCTTCATTGCGCAACCTCAAGTCATGGATCATCATTAAGAGCCGAATATGGTCCTTGATGTTTCGAATTGTATTGGCCGAGTTTGGACAAGTTCCTTAGATCATTTTATTCCGACTTTTCCACAACTCCCATATTATTATTGAAGGCAACAACTTTCTCAAAGCTTCACTTGCTGTCTTGAAATCGCCTCTATTCCACCATCGGCCGAGCATCGAAGCCAATGTAGTCACTCCAACAACGTTAATGCTTAGCATTGCTGAGAAATGATGCCATATGTGCTGGGCCAATTGACATCCAAAAAAACAATGAGAAATGCAGTCTGCACTATTTCGACAAGCCAAACACATTGTCGGGAATATATGAAAGCCCATTGAGCCTAAAATTTCAGGGAAACGCAACAACCTATTGCGCAATTTCCACAAAAAAAAATCGAAACCCTCAAAGGAGTAATCGAATTCCAAACATTCCTTGACCAATCCCCCACTTCATTCCTATTACGGAGAGTCTCATACACTGATTTAACTGTTAAATCACTCGTAGCAAATCATCCTCATCATCAACAAAATCCAGATCAAATGCCGCCAGAAAAGCTAGAACATTATAGGAGAGCAAACCTTGCAACACGGGTAGGTATAAAAGCTTATTTTGGAAAAATCCCAAATATTCAACTCTTGAAAAGGTGGCTGCAACCCTTCTATATCCCAAAGAATACCGAAAGATGACCAGTTATCAAACCAAAAAGATCTATCTCCCCGACGAACAATTACTTTAGTATGCTGTGTAACCCTTGCTTCCATTTTTGCAATTCTCCGCCAAGATGTTTTTTTCTTTGCCGTCATAGACAATGAGTGAATGAAATCACTCCAAATACCCTTTCTTTTTTTAGCTTCCACCATTTCTTGACGCTTAACGCATCTATAAACCCCTGGAAATTACGAATTCCCAAACCATTTTCTGAACTGGAAAGGTCATTTAATCCCATGATCTCCAATGTCTTTTACTCTCCGCATTTGCACCAGACCAAAAGAATTTTTGGCACTTTCTTTCAATCTCATGAATTATAGACTTTGGAGGCGATATTGCCGAGAATACATGAACTGGTATGGAGGACAGAACATGTTTAATAAGCACTAATCTTCCACCTTGACTTAGTAGCTTATTTTTCCAGTTCAAAACCTTTCTATCAATGTTGTCCAATTTCTATCAATAGAAATTGAAACGTTGAAGCCTTTCTCCTTCCTTGGTATAACCTGCAACCAAGATAAACACAAGGAAGAGAACCCTTTTGGATTTCTAGGGCTTGCTGAATTATGGAAACTCTTCTTGCACTACCTCTTTCTGACACATAAAAGTGCTCTTTTGTCTACTTATTTTCTGACCAGAGGCTATTTCATAGTCACAAAAGAATGCATTTAACTCCCGCAAAGATCTTTTCAAAGCCCTGGAAAAAATGATTACATCATCCGTAAATGCTAAGTGAGATACCACCCTTTAGCCACCCGGTGTTCCATAACTTGCAATCCTACCATGCATGACTAAAGCTTTCAACCTACTTGTCATTGCCTCCTTACAATGATGAAAAGGTAGGGAGAGGATCTCCTTGCTTGATACCTCTTGAAGATTGAAAATACCCAACCGCCCCTCCATTGATCATGATAGAAAACCTTGCCCGACGAAGATTTTCATAATCAAGTTCACCAAGTGCAAGGGAAAGCCAAATTTCAGCAATACCTTTTCAAGAAAACTCTACTTTACTCTATCAAATGCCTTCATCATATCAAGTTTTAACATAAAGTTACCCCCCTCGTACCTTGTGTCCCAAGAATTGACATAAGTCTTGAGCTAAGAGCACATGATCCATAATATATCTCCCCTCCAAAAATGCTGATTGCTCTTCTGAGATTATCCTAGGCAACACTCCTTTTAGCCTTTCTGTAAGAACTTTGGTGAATATCTTATTCAAGAAGGTACATAAACTGATTGGCCTATAGTCGGAGAAGGTTGCAACATCCACCTTCTTAGGGATAAGAGTAATCAATGTACTAGTGATTGATCTAGGTAGAGGAACTCCAATCATAAACACTTGACATGCCGTCAACAAGTCAGTTTTGATGATATCCCAACAACTTCTATAGAAATAACCACCAAAACCATCAACTCTCGGGGCACTATCTTAACTTAAATTGAAGGTCGCTTCCTTGATTTCCTCAATGGTAATTGGCCTCAATAAAGTTTCAGCATCAAAATCATCAAGTATATGAGGAATATGATCCAAGAAAGAAGCTTGTTTTGACTCACAAAGGCTATCATCATCGTTTTCATTTAAAAGAGCTTTGAAAAAATTAATTGCTTCTTGTTCAATTTCAGCCACCTCTCCCAGAGTTCTCCCATCCACATCTTGTATTTTTAAGACGCTTTGCTTCAATTTTCATTCCCTCATAGTAGCATGAAAGAAAGTGGTGTTGGAATATCCCTCCTTCATCTATTTAATCCTCATTTTTTGAGACCAAAAATCTTCATGCTCTTTCAATCTTTGAAGCAAGTCCGCCTTGGCATCATTCAAATGCGCTCTATCCCGAGCATCTCCAATATTGTCAAATATATTTTCCAATTCTTGCACTTTGCTCTCAGCCGCACGCAAGTTTGTAAAAACGTCGCCAAATACCTCTTTAATCCAATCCTTCAATCTCATCTTTAAACGCTTAAGTTTCAGAGCAAAACCAAGCATCACTGAAGGTACCATAGGCTGCTCCCAATTATCTTTCACAATAATCATGAATTCAGCCCTTCTCAACCACATTTTTGGAAATTGGAAACCTTTGGTTTGCTTGCAACTTGAACATCAAACAAATGCAGCATTGGACAATGGTCTAAAGTGATGCGATTAAGATTTTCCAATGAGGATTTTGAGACAAATCTTGCCATTCTTGCGGGATCATCACTCTATCAAGCTTCTTGCTAATCCAACCGGTTTGCCGTGTTCCTCCCCATGTGTATTCTTCCCCAATCGAAGGTATGTCCATAAGACTACAGTTATGAATACACTCATTGAACTCATACATTGCTTCTGGATCTTGGACCGAACTCCCCGAGTATTCATCCAAAGTCCGAATAACATTAAAATCGCCGCCAATCATCCAAGGCACCCCTGAATGCGCTTGCCGAAAGTCTACCATACTTTGCCATAAAATCCACCTTTCCACCCTTGTGGACTTAGTATACACAGCTGATATATAGAACTTTCCTTGAACCGAGACATGAGTAGCTTCAAAGTGCAGCACTTGACCTTTATCTTCGAACAAACCAAGGGAAAACCCGTTTTTACAGAAAACCCAAATTTTACTTGAAGCCGACGAAAAAGAACTTTCAAAACCAAGCTCTCACCGGATATCAAGAATTTAATCAGCCACAAGTAAGGGTTCAAGAATTATAAGAA